GACCTCTGAAGTAGGGCACTCCAGGGCTGGTTCATTCCAGAAAGTCAGCAGCAATCTGGGTTTCCATGTCCCTGGTTCACTTTCCCCATGATAAACAAGACACTGTGCCAGCTCCAGGGACCACCTGCTGCCACACATGACCCAGGGCAGAAGGAAGTTTCTCCCCACATATGCAGGTGGGTGCTTTAGGAACAAGGAACCCAGTTCCTGCCACATTTCATTGGTCAGAATCATCACATGCCACCTAACCAAGTCACATGCCTATGTCTAAACCAGTCCCTGGCAAGGAGATGGTTCTCCTGTGATGGGGTTGAGTCCATCGAGACTTACTCTCTGGGTTGGGGAGCAGTCTTGTCCCCAGATGCACAGGCACTGAAGGGTTAATAGGCCAAAGCAGACCATGTTTTCGAGGCATAGGAGACTTGGAATAGATTTAGCTAGACTTTGAGCCTCACGTGTCTAGGGTCTTGCAGCTGTCCTGCTCTGTAGGCGGAGGCTCCCGCCTGTTAGACTCTACAGGTGTGTCTGTCCACTTATTGTCCCAGCTGGCTTGCCTGCAGAATGCAGAAGAGTCTGGATAAATGCAGCTGAGCTGGCCGTTCTCCTAATGAAGGCTTCTTCCCACACTCTGCCTTCCTGGGGATGCTATTTCTTTCTTTTAATTAAGGCATATGGAAATGATCGGTATTTGTAAACCAGGCATTTCTCATCCAGATTCCTTCCTGTTCCACACTCCTCCCTGCCCACCTGCCACCCTCTTCCCCTGCCTTCTCCCACAGCTTGCCCCAGGACCACTGGCCAGAGACCTGAATGGCCTCCGCTCCCAAACACATATCCCCATCCCCATGCCAAGTTCTAGAATCAGGCTCTGCCATCAGCCATTCGCACTTTGGAGTGAATTTTCCCATGAGTTCCTCCCACTGGGAGCGTTTGCACCCTGCTGATCATACGGCATGGAAAGTTCTGTTTCCTCTTGAAGGAACTTCAAAGACCAGGCGCTTGCTTATTGAGGGCATCTTTCCTGGCTCTTTAAAATGACAGTTTCCCTTGTCCCTCTGGCTGTCTTGCTCCTACAGCACTGTGGGTGACGGCACCTACTTCGCTTCAGAAAAGTTCTTTATCTGAGCACCTTCTCTCTCGGGTATCATTCTGGAATCCTCCATCTGGATCAGTCCTCCTCCTTACTAACACCGAGGGTAGGTAGCTTCAGACAGCTCCAGTTAGGATCCCAAAAAGTCAAAGCCCAACTCACTGCTTTAATACATTCCCTTTTCCCTAAATGTCTTTCTGCACAGAGAAAAAATTGAAGATCAGAGAGATGCGATGGGTAGCTCAAAGCCAATCTAATTAGAAAGAGAAACCGAAAAAAACAAGAAGGCGTCGTCTCTCAATATTACTGTGGCTCACAAAATAAAACAAGTTGATACAGCATGAAGGCAATTTAAAGTGATAGATACAGATGTGCTGTCTTACATTTCATATCACCTCTTTACTAAGAGAATTTTTCTTCTGGATGCAGAGAGAAAGTCTGCATAATGCTGGATGGCTTGATCTGGAGAATCTGTGAGCTCAGGAATATATTTGGGGATCTTATCCAAGGCCAGTGATAGCCTATTAAAGTTAAAACAATTGGCTTTTTAAATTTTTTTATTTAAAGAAAGAAGGAACTTCTATTCATGGGCAGACCTTGCTAGATTGGGTTCTGTGATCATCATGTATCGCAACTGTATCTTTTTTGTTACCTGAAATAAAAATGTGATAATTTTCCTGAAATTGATGATTAATTATATTATTTGCCTGTTCTCCCTGCTACTCTCCCTGCAGGGGCTGAAGATTGCTTCCAACGGTATTGTAGCAACTCATCCAATCTGTCACCTAAAATTATTTTATCATCTGGTAGTCATGAAAAAGATGGGGGATGTAAAGATTTTATGCTTTCAGTCGAAAAAGGCAGATCTAAAATCAGTTAGTTTATTTCCTGCAGTCTTTCAAGTTGACCAAAGTGCTCGCTGATTTGCTCTATTTTCTTACGTTTTTAGTATTTCTGTGTATATGCACTAAAAAGCCCCGCTCAGGGAAAAAAAAAAATTCACTGCAATTCTGAGAAAAAGCTTATCCTAAACATCTAAAGATAGCATTTCTAATTATTGTCTACATTGTGTTTAAACTATGCAAACTTGAACATTATTCTCACTTTACCAGCTGTGTCTAGGTAGAGTCATTACATCAAACGCTTCTAATTTTACAAAAAGAAATCAAAACAAGTGTGTGTTTAAGTCCCAGTGACAAACTCGAACCCTGTGAGTCAAATAGGCAAACTGATTAGCAAGCCACTGGGAAGTCAAAACAGCAAATATAAGGAGATTAACAAAACAGATCTGTAAGATTCGAGGAGTAAAAATAGACTCCAGAGGCCATGCAGGGTCCGATGTCTTGGTGGCACCCATAAGGTTCTCTGCCAAGAGCCAGATGTCTGCCTTGTGGTTCACGGTCTTCCCTTCATCAATCCACCCCCACCCGCCACCCACCAGGAGCTGGGATAGCAGGGATCATCTCAGCCAGCCATTCAGTGGCTACAGTGGATGCAGAAGTCCTTTTTGGAAACCTCAGAGGTAGCCACCTTCACCTGGATCCTTCTGGTTGCATGACACTGTCTTCTAAGTCAGCCCAGTCCATTAATAGGGAGCTGTTTTTCTGACTTGAGCCATTGCTTTAACTAGATATTCATTAGATCTTTATCAGGTAAGCAGGTGCTATGCACCTGTTATGAATAATACTTGATGAAATCTTCAGAACAATCCAGTGTGAGGATCTGATTTTACAGATAAGAAAACTCAGGTTCTGAGAAGTTGAATGACTTGTTCAGGTCACACAGCTTCCAAAGCTAGGGTTCAAACAGCCTTCTGACCTGAACCTGAGTTGGCCACTGCTGTGCTAGACAATTCCTTTGCCCTCCCAGAAAAGTGGTTTGCCCTCCGATTTGTTACTGGCCTCTGGAGCCTCCCAGGATAATGTGCCAATCCTACTCCCATTAACAGAAGGGAAATGAATGAGTCTGCTAAGGGGTCTCCCTGGCCCTGTCTAGGGGCCGAGGGTGGGGAAGAGGAAAACTAATAACAGAAGACTTTAACAAGCACCTGCATTCTTTGGGAAAACACAAACCAAACCCCCTTGATGATCCTGAGTCAACCTTTCTCTGGGCAGCAGAGGGGAAGACAGGGTGGGGGTGATTTATTCCCCTCCTGAGGATTCCTGGGTAATTGCTGCTGCATTTTCACAACTTTCTATTGTGCATCTAAGCAAACAGTCCATTTAAGATCAGGATATTTAAAGACTCCGTTTGCTAGTGCCCTTTCAGTGCTGACCCGGAAGTTTCCAGTGAACATTTCAAACTAGGAGGAACCAGGTGGTGGAGCAAAGCCACCAGCCTTTTTCTCCAGTTGTCACTAGGGTTTAAGGCAAGATGTTAAAATAACAAGTTAGTCCTCCTTAGAGGCAAAAATAACCAATGGGGATGGGTTTCTGGCTGTGGTTCAGTTTGACTCACTGCCTGATGAGTCTGGGAGAAATGGCCTCTGAGCATCCAGGGAGGAATATCCACAGCTGGGAAGTGGGTCTCCGGGGAGGCAGTTACCACAAGTGCTTTTGTTTGGTGAATGAAGGGGCATGCCAAGACTCTTCTAGTAGTGTGTGTACAGGTTATAATCTTCAAAAAGGGAGCAGGACCCCCACCCCAGCCCCAATCAAAATCAGCTGCATTTGGGGCCCACCACTTCCCTCTGCCTTTGCAACTTGTCCTGGCACAGATAATTCCAGCACCTTCGGATGCCAGCACCAAGCCCTGAAACTCGCCAGTCACATGGCTTGACTGGTAATGACTTGGACGTTTGGGAAGTATACCAAAGGCTGCATTCAGAGGCAGAGGCCACTGCCCAGCTAGGCTGGTGCTTGCCTCATCCCACCTTGGCCATTGGCATTGAAATCACTCCCCTGGGCATTTGCTGCAGATGTTTTTCTCCCCTCCTTTTGGATTCCAAAGGAATTTGGGATGTGTATCTCTCTCTCTCTCTCTCTCTCTCTCTCTCTCTCACACACACACACACACACACACACACACGCTTACGTATTATTGCATATAACAAACATGTATGTATATATTTTTCTGCTATCTCAAAAAAAAATCAAAAGTAAAAAAAAAAATTACAGCTGAGTGTGGAAGAGAGAGCTCAAACAAATAAAAAGTAACCAAAACCCCAAACGCATGACTGAATTGCTGCGTTTTTAATGTGCAACACAAAATCGCTAAACATCCCCCCAAAGAGCAGCGCTCTCGGGCTGTCTGGGAGACAGCAGAAGGTGGAGGCCAGAAACCTAACAGGGCGGCACTGCAGGGGGGTTGTGAGCAGGAGAGAAGGGCCCAAGGAAGCCTTAGAGGACTCTCAGAGGGCCTAGGAATAAAGAAAAGTGGGGAGGAGAAGGTCCTCAGGACAGAGAGGGGTCTTTGGCAGTAGGTGGGGGCTGAAGGTCAGGGAGGACCACAGGAGAAGGGACTCCGATGGATGGCATATTTCAATGCGCCTTGGGGCGCAGGGGAGGGGTGTGTGCAGGGAGCTCAGAGGTATTGGAGGACAGCCACTCAGAGATCCTGTGTGGCTCTCAGGATAGAAAAGGGGCATGTCTCGCACTCATGGAGGACACCTCAGGGTATAGGGTGTCTCTGGGTGCAGAGGGACTCAGAGGCAGAGGGGTGTCTAGGACGATGGATTTTTCTATGGACACAGAGGGGTTCTCGGTGAACGTGGGAGCGTCTCTGGTGTGGAGAGGGTCTGGGGCCCGTGGAGGTGTCTCCGTGTGAAGGGTCCTGGGGTACATAGGGTGTCTAAGGGGCAGAAGGAGCTCTCCAGTAGCCGGGGGCGTGGGCGTGGGGGGCTCTGGGGTGTGTCAGGTGAGGGGCACGCAAGGTGTCGGGCCTTGGGGCTGGGGACACAGGGGACTGGGTGGCGCTCAGTCGGCCTTGCACTCGCTTTCGCGCCTCCGCTTCCTGCGCTCCGCGTGCTCCTGCGCCAGGCGCGCCCAGGGCGCGGGGCCGCTGGCGCCCACCACGCAGCAGGCAAGCCGGCGGCCGGCGTTGCCGTTCTCCACGCTGGCCTGGTTGCCGCCGCGGCCCAGGTCGTCCTCGCCCGCGTGGACCACCACGGCGCGACCCATGATGGAGTGCGGGCCGGCGAGCGAGGCGGCCAGGCCGGCGCGGTACTTCCAGAGGCGGCCGTCGCGCACGGCGAAGTTGCCGAAGTCGCCCGGGTGCCGCGGGTGCGGCGCCCCGAGCGGGTTGTAGTGCGGCCCGGTGGACTCGCAGCCCTGGCTCAGGTCCCCGAACTGGTGCACGTGGATGGCGCGGATGGAGCTGTTGGGCTCGGCCGGGAAGCCCTCCAGGTCGAAGAAGGCCTCGAGCTTGGCGCCCGGCGCCGGCTGCCGGAAGAGGACCAGGCCGCTCACCCGCGGCTGCGCGGCGTCCAGCGAGGCGGACGGCTGCACCCGGCAGATGGCGTGGAGCGCCGCGTCTGGCCCGCCGGCCGCCGGCCGCCGCTGCGCGACCTCCTGCCAGATCTCCAGCACTTTGGCGTACATGTCGCGGATCTGCTCTGCCACGTCGGAGCCGGGCCCCGCGGACTCCGGGACATTCCAGGTGTCCGAGAGACGGGCCGCCAGGAGCAGGCAGCAGCACAGCCGGGCCAGCATGGCCGGGGTCAGGCACCTGCGGGCGCCCCCGCGAGGACGGGGCGGAGCAAGCCTTAGTCACTGGGAATACCCAATCGCAAGGACCCCCACCGTTGTCAGATCCACCCCCCATGTTCCCAGGGGGCGTCCGGACCCAGCGTGCTTTTGTGCTGTTTCTCAAGGGCCTGCTGAGTAGTGGGCACTGGGTGTAATAAAGGAAGAGACCCCAGCTGAAAAATCTCGAGAGATCTGAGTCTCCAGCGATTTGGGTTCTTTGAGGCCCTGAGTCCCTGGCATGGAAGGAGTGGGCCGCAGGGCGCAGGGGGCGGGGTGTCTTAGGACCCTTCCAGGCCTGCCCCTCCGCATCCCTCCCTGCTCTTTCTACATCCTTCCAGCAGACAGACATGCGACTTAGGTCCCTGCCTTCTTGGTATTTGCATGTACTGTGCCCTCTCCCTGCAGTGCCCGCCCGCTGCGGTAGACTTGGGGTTTATAGAGATACAAATTTGGGTTTTCTTGGGTATCCCCAGCACCTGGGCCCACAGCAGGCAATAGGATGCATGTATCTGGTTGCTAAGAGAGGACACCAAGTGGGGGACAGTTGGGTACAAGTCACTCCAACACCATCCTGTGATTGGAGTCCTGTGCTGGGGTAGGGCAGAGAAAGCCATGCCCATCTCCCTGGGGGACTCTAGAAAGGCTTCCCAGGGGAGTTGACTTTCTAGTTGGGTTCCATAAGATGGAAGTTTTCCGGGAGAGCCAGATAGGAAGGCCTATTGGACAAGAGAATGTTCACAGGCGGGGAAAGGTTACAGTTTGAGGTTGGAGGAAATTCAGTGTGGCTAGAGTGTGGGGCGCTCTCTCTCTCTCTCTGTTTCTCTCTCAATAATTTTAGATGTTGATGGACCTTTTTTATTCATTTATTTATACGCGGCACTGAGAATCAAACCCAGTGCCTCACATGTGCTAGGCAAGCGTTCTACCACTGAGCCACAACCCCAGCCTGTGTGGCCTCTCTTGACCAGGCAGGAGCTGGGGCTCAAGAGGGAACCTAGAACCAGGGACAGAGGAAATGACTTTGCCATGCTAAGGGGGTGGTATTGGCTAGGGAGCTAGTGCTGGTTTAATCAGAGGAGGTGATAAGAGGTGTTTTGTTTTGTCTAGTATTGTGTATTCAAACATGCTGGAAGACAGGAATTTGAAAATTCTCACCATGCAGATTTGCTAATTGAGGAGACAGACATGCTCACCCTGATCGGACATTATACAATGTGTATATGTATGGAAATAGTGGTGTATGGTATCCCATTACACATGTACAGATAGCGTGTGTCAATTGAAAAATAAAGCTCACTGGCAGGAGAAAGGATAAAGGCTGGGCTCTAGGGATGGAGAGGACAGGGAGGGGGTGGTAATAATCTAGGGAGAGAGAGACCCAGAGAAGCAGAGCTGGAGAGAACCTGAGGGAGACCAGTTAGGAGGCTGTAGCACTAACCCAGGGAAGAAACCCAGAAGCTCAGGCCAAAGTGGAGGCAGCTAACAGAGAGGAGGGCGTGGCTGATCAGCCCTGGCAGGAGGACAGGAGCAGCAACAAGTGCAGACTTCTGAGGCTCCATCAGGGAACACTGAGTAGTACAGTGGGGAATAGTCCCAGGACCGCCCCGCCCCATGGGTTCCAAAATCTGTGGATGCTGAAGTCCTTCATCTGAAGTGGCGGAGTGCGTGTGACCTGCGCACATTCTGCGGCATATTTGAACTATCTCTGGATTACTTACTGCATTTACCAATGTAACTGCTATGTGAATACTTGTCATACTGTATTGTTTAGAGAATAATGACAATTGGGAAAGAAAAAAAAAAAAGTCTGTGCATGTTCAGAGCAGACACAGTAATTTTTTTCCCAAGCATTTTCCACCTAAAGTTGGTTAAATCCACAGACGTGGAACCCAAGGACATGAGGGTGACTGTACTATAACTTCACAGGGCCACTGACTTTCTTAGCCCTCCATTCCTTACCTGTAAAATAAGGCCAGTCATAATACCCAAGATCATGGTAAGGATTAAGTGAGATATTTATAAACCAGGCTACTTTCACATTTTAAAAATCTGCCCACAGGGATTAATGATGCCCCCAAAGAATTGGTTCGAAGGTCACCTGCTCTGCCAAGTCCTTCTTCAACACCTCTGGCCATTTAAAAAACAAGCTCTAAGATGGAGTGTCTCTTCCTTACATAAGCATTACAGAAAGTCAATTGAGAATGGGTGATTAAAGGAATGGATTCTGGAACTGGCTTCACAAATCCAAAGCCCGCTTGCCACTTACGCTCTAAGTGCCATTTTCATATTTATAGAGAGCAGCGAATAAATGTCTGCCTGCAAACTGTAGCCAGGCCTGCTCCCCACCCCCCCACCCCCAGCCTCAGCTCTCTGATCTGCACAGACAGCTAGGGACACCTACCTCAGAATCTTGCTATCAGGCTTACAAGAGACCCTTGGAATTTCTGACCCTTATTGAACACACAGGTCTCGTCTAAATCCCAACATGCAAGGAAACTGAGGTACAGAGAGGCCAGTATCCTGCCGGAGGTTACACCGGCGCTAAGTGCTGTGCCCATGATTCAGTCGTCACATGCATAGCTCTCTAGGGCAGGCAGCATAGAGCCTATGCTAGAAAGTTCTTAGCAAACAGCAGCTGGTAGTCAGCAAAGAGAAGCTGCAGATGAGATGTCAGGACCACCCACTGAGAGAGGCTGTGGAAGCCAATGGAAGGAGGAGGTTCTAGGAACTGGGGGTCTTCCTGTGTGCCCTGGCCTGGAGCTCTCTGTCAGCAGGGACCCTTGTCCGGAGGCAGCCTGCCACTCAGGAGCACCTACACCTGGAAAGTTCTTCAAACAGAGCAAAACCAGCTTGTTTGGGGGCCTCAATGGGCTTTGCTTTGCAGGAATGCCAGGGTAATAATAAACAGTTTAAAGAGGTGTTTTCCTCTTAAATCTAAAAAGGAAAAGAAAATGCTTCCTCACACCCAGGAAAACTAGAGTCCTTACTTCCTAAGCCTCTGCATCCTCCGCACCCCCTGCCCCTGGAGGCCCTACATAAGCTCAGTCTTCTGGAACAGTCTCCTGCCCAGTGAGACAGCAAACAACCAAGTGGCTTTTTGAGAGCCTGCTTTGTGCAAAGTTCTGTAGGGACAAAGCTATGGGGGTGGGGGGTGGGGGGACAGGGAGGGACAGGGAGCCTTGTCCTGAATCAAAGGAAGCCACCAAGCCTTTATCTTCCTCTTGGCCAGTATCTGGGTGGCCCCCAATTCCTTGCCTGTTCCCTGAAGCTTCAGTAGACATGCCGTAGCAGGCCATGTCAGAGGTGGGACACTGGTGTCACTTTGTCCTGCCTTCCTGGTGACTCCCTGGACTTCTTCCTGATCACCTCCTTCTTGGGCTTGGGTGCTTGAGTCCCTCCACAGCCCCCAGGAAAGAGCATGTGCTGGGAGCCAGAGCTGGCCAGGCGCTTGACCTGTGCCTTTGCTAACCAGGGGGCTTTGTAGGCATGTGCCGTCCCTCAGGGCTCCAGCACCCAGCCGTGCAGCGTCCTGAGGACAGGCTTTCCATCAGATTTCTTTTCTGTGACACTGAAGTCCTCACGGACTGGCCTTTCTCTGTGCACCCAAAGGTGAAGCAGTTTTTCTCCCCCCCCCCACCGCGTTGCCCCCTTCTCTCCTGGCCCCCACCCTGTCCCTGGGGTCCCCTCCTAGCTTCAGAGCAGCCAGGTGTCATTACTCTCCCAGGAACCTGATCGAGTCCTTTCCCAAGAAGAGTCCTGTGCCCCGCCCCGGCTCACAGTAGGGACACTTGGGGAAGAACAAGATGGACCCCAGCTTGGCACCCACCTTTGCAGCGCTTCCAAGAGCACTTTCCCTCCTGCGGAGCGGAGCCCGAGCTGCACTGGCCACCAGAGGAATGCAGGCTGTCCCCTGCTGGGCTTTGTGAGCCAGCAGAAAGCCGGCCCAGCCTGGGGAGTGGTTAGCAGGAGGGAAGAAGGTCATTGGGCCCGTCAAAAAAAAAGGCGTCCAGACGTCCCTTGTTGCAGAATTGCCTGGCCTCCTGCTCCTCTGTCCGCATCTCCCCCGCCCGGGCTCTCTTGCCAAGTGTCCTGACTTCCCTGGTCTGTGCAGAAGGAGCCACTGACCTTCAGCCACAGCGGGGGACTAAAAAAAGAGAGAGAAAATAGCTTGTTGGGAGAGGTGTACAATGGCCTCTTTATTGAGAGGCCTTTTATTTTCTCCTGATTTCCGCAGCTATTGACTCATTTTTCTGGATGCTGACGTGTATCGAAGATGGGCACAGGCACCTGGCAGCTGTGTGTGGCGTTTTCTCCAGGACTGTGCTGCCACACCTTGCACACGTGAGAGGCAAGTGTGGCAGGGATCACACACACAGGCTGCAAGGCCCCAGCTTTGTCACTTCCCAACTGAGTGCAGCTGGCCCCGTGACGTCCCTGCTTGTGCCTCCCTTTCCATCTCTGTAAAATGGGTACGGGATGCTGGCTAGCCTGAGTGATCACCACGGAGATCAAATGAGATAAACATGTCAAGTGGGAGCCCAGTGCCTGGCTCTCGTAAACAATGTCATTAGTACGTTACACAGAATGACAATAACAGTAACCCTGTTGTTGTCACTGCTGTTGTTAAAATGACAGAGGAGCCTTTTAAAAGAGTGTGTGGTCTGGAGGGACCTTTCCCTCTAGGGTGGCCTTTTTTCCTTTTGCTGCCATGAACTCAATCCCAGTAGCTCTTTCCAGAAATAGACGCCTCTCTTTCCCAGAAAGGCACACTTGGGAAAGGCACTCACCACTGCCTGTCTGTCCCGCATTCCTTCAACCAGTGCTGACTGGGAGCTGCATCCCAGCCAGGCTGCATGCTGTGTCAGGGACCCAGAGCTGCGTGAGTCCCTGCCCCTTGGGATTCACAACCTCAGGAGGGAGATGGCAGTGTCAACAGATACAGCCAGGGCTGAGTGAGAAGTGCAGCTGGGGAGG